CTGCTAAAGGATGGAATTTGCATCAATTAGATGTGAACAATGCGCTTTTACATGGTGATTTAGATGATGAAGTCTATATGGAGCTTCCACCATGTTATGCTAATGTCCAAAGGTTTGCAAACTTCGTAAGAGTTTATATGGATTAATGCAGGCCTTGAGACAATGGTATGCCAAGCTTTCAGATTTTATCATTCAGCAAGGTTTCAAATAGTCAAAAGCTGATTATAGCTTTTTACAAGATCAGTAAAGAACTCTTTCACTACCGTTCTTGTTTACGTAGATGATCTCATAGTGGTTGGAAATGATATGGAAATTATGTACTCTCTCATATCTTCCCTTTATGACAAATTCAAAATCAAGGACTTAGGTAACTTGAAGTATTTTCTTCGATTGGAAGTGGCCAGATCAGAGAACGGAATTTACTTTTGTCAAATGAAGTATGCACTAGATATATTGGCTGATTCAGGAACCATTAGAGCAGCACCAAGCAAGATACCTTTAGATTAGAATTGTAGGATCTTTAAAGACCAAGGTGAGCTGCTCAAAGACCCTTCTATTTATAGGAGACTAGTTGGTAGACTACTTTATCTCACCATTACCAGACCAGATTTGGCTTATTCAGTACAACTACTTAGTCAATTTATGCAAGCTCCTAGAATCCCACACTTGAATATTGCTCAGAGTGCTGAGATACATAAAGCGAGCTCCAGGTCAAGGATTGTTATATTCTTCACAGTCAGACCTTCAACTTAAAGCCTATTGTGATTCAGATTTGGGGGGGCATGCATAGATACACGCTGGTCTGTGACGAGATATTGCGTTTTTCTTGGTTCTTCTTTGGTGTCTTAGAATTCTAAAAAGCAAAATACCATCTCAAGGTCCTCAATTGAGGTTGAGTACCGGGCAATGACAAGTTCTTGCTGTGAACTAAGTTGGTTCAAATTTTTACTTCAAGATTTGATGGTGGATCATCCTCAAGCAGCCTTATTGTTTTGTGATAACAAGGGTGCATTACACATAGCAGCAAATCCGATTTTTCATGAGCGGACTAAACACATAGAGCTTGATTGCCACTTGATTAGTGATAAAATTCAAGAAGGGATTGTTGTCACCGAACATGTAAATAGTGGCTTACAAATAGTAGATATCCTGACTAAAGCATTGGGTTCAAATAGTTTTTACTCTCGTTTGCACAAGATGAGAGTAGAAAACATCTATTCTCTATTTTGGGGCTGTTGAAAAAAGAAAATGAAAAATGCCAACTAGGCAGTCATGATTGAGCAAGCACAAAGAAAATCAGCAAGGGGGACCACATGAGATTACAAAAGGAAACGTCATTGGAATCCACCTAATCCATTTTTTGTTTCATTGTTTGTTGTATCCACCTAATCCATTGTTTGTTTACAACATGGGAGAATATTTTCTGTTTGTTTTTGTTTGTTATACAGCATCTATTAACAGATTTTGGTAGCTTCTTTGTATATATATAGGACTCTATGTACGTAAGAAAGAAGGGGAAATGATTATACAGTTTTTCTCTCAATTCAATTCAGATTGTTCTTCTGTTTTTCATTGCTGAATTAATTTTTATAATTTAAGAGAAAGGTAGATAGATTAGTATATACTGGGAGATAATATAACATATTTGTCCTTAGATTACACCTTTTTCAAAACACACACACACACACAAACCTAATTTAGTGCTCTGATTAACGTGACATGGTGATAATAAACAAAGGGAGCATCGTATTTACTTTTTTAAATGATTTATAAATTTACTAAATAGAGGCTTAGTTTTTTCTTTATTTTTAAGTAAAATAATTCAACTTTTTGTTGGAAGTAAATCTTTATCTTACTATTAAAACTTAGTTATTTCAAAGTTTTTATCTAGCAAAATATTATTTAGGCCCTGTTTGAGCCATCTTATTGTAGAATGAGAATGAAAAATATAGTCGTTATTGGACTCCACACAAAAGATAAAAATTCAAAATTGATGTTTTGATGTGATGGATATCGATCATATTTTTTATTTTAATGAATAAAAAAATATGGCTCAAACGGGGGCTTATTTTGAAATTTATTTATATACTTATAAGTAAATTTTCTAAGCGTAGCCAATCATGCTATTTCTGTGGAACATCTTTGTCAAAATGACACAGCTTGCTTTTAACTAAACAACAAAAAGAAAATATCAGGTAAATTCTACCGCGGTTCTTAACCTTTCGTAAGTGTAATATTTAAGTCCTCAATGTACCATTTGTTGAACTAATATCTCCAGTCTTTTAAAACTGTAGCATATTTCCTCTTGAAGGAAAAATTATTTGAACGTTGAACGGTCACGTGACACTCACGTAACATCGAACTTAAAGGGTAAATTTGTCTCTCTCTTTTTAAATCCAAAATAATTCAAAACGATAACTTCAACTTTCGTTTAAAGATTCGTATGTGATGAAATTTCTCAGTATTTAGGAAACTATTCCCTTGCATACATTCATCATCAACGTCACTTGAATGTCATGTAACTATTTATGTTCAAAACGAATTTTCAATTAACCCTGTTTGACAATCATTATTTTAATTTTTTTTATTTATATACTTATTTTGAATTACATATTTACACAATAAAATATTATACACGTAAATTTAAAAATTTTCCCTACTTTTTAATCACCAATTCTTAAAAAATTCACTATTCAAAACAATAAAAAAAAAAAAAAAAAAAAGGCCACCGAACAGGACCTACGCTACAAAATTAGATTTCAGTAAAAAATCCACACGCAGTTGCTTTCGGTCGACAACTAGCACTTAACTTTGTCTTCTTTACAACCTATTCGAACATCCTGGTCACGTGTTTGGTTGCCGGATCATAGATTGTTCGTTTTTTATGGTTTTAAAGGAGACCAAAAAAGTACTAATTCTGTTGGTTTGCGAATGGAGAGTTTCAACAAACAAGTAGAATTTACAGTAAAAGCTTAAATTTTTACTGCAATGACAATTGTACCATTATTTTTAGGAATAGTTAGGACTTGAGTCCCCAACCTTTCAACTTGATTTTTACTGTAAATATGGATAGCTGTGCAGTCAAATCACACGCGACTTTCATATAACTCCAAACTGGACATTAAGTACTTTGACGATTTTATCTTCAAAATTTAAGTTATGTTTGTAAGTTAGAGCATATGGTATATTTTTACTTATCTTTTATTTATTGGCTTGCTTACATTAGAATTTTTTAATATCCAAATATGTGCCAAAAACATGTGCAAAAGTGAAGTTCAAAGACAAATAAATCAGTCGATCGGAACTGGCTGGATGCTACAGGTTTGTAAAATTTTGGCGTGATTTCCTTATAATTTCTAAAACCTAAATAAGGCGCAACTTTTACTTGCCTTAAAGCAGCATATACAGAAATATTTACCTACCATCTTAAACAAGGTTAATTTGTCAAATAATTAAAAGAAGTAAATATTATATTAGTTTATAAAATATTTCCTTAATTTAACTATAAACTACATCAACCATATCTTATGTGATTCTTACCGTACATAACGTTATTATTTCAGGTAAGAGGTGTTCCGATCTTGTGGAAATCTTTATATAAATGAAGAGGGACATTAAGGATCGAACAAGTTTTGAGTGAGAATTTTCAGACACTCGATGAACATGCAGCATGATGTTCATAAGTATTCCGACTTTTTCTTTATTTACTTTTGATTGTTCTAATCAATTTTGGAAATTGCTTAATTGAGACAATTGTATTTTTGCATCTTAATTAATCGATTAGTTTTTCACATCATATATGTGTTCTTCTTTACTTAATTTTGCAATAGATTATTATTTGCAAAACACAAATCTATCGAGCCACTTCGGTGACAACTGTGGTGTAAAACTGTCTGTAGAAAATTCTGACAGACCTGCATGTTCTGCGTGAATCGTAAAATTGTGAATAATAGGTTTTTTATCATCTAGGTATTATTCTTTACCATGTTAAAGTCATTTTAACATTCACACGAGCAGTTCCCATCACGTGGAGTCGAAAATCAGGCTAATTCAGAAATTACTAAATTTATAATGTATATTCTTGGAGATAATATGATAGCATATTTGTCCTTACATTACACATCTTTTACAACACACACACACACACACAATATTTAGTGCTCTGATTAATGTGACACGATGATATATATATATTTTTTATTTTTTTTTTGGTGAAATCTGAAAGATAAAGAATTTCTTATTTTAAAGCTATCTTTTTCATTTTGATCAATAAAAATGAGTAACTTCAAACAATATTAAATTATAAGATAAGTACAAATTTTAAGCTGAGTCAAAACGCGTTTTAACTCTTTGATATTTTCCTTTATAAGTATTTTTTTTAAAAGCGTAGCCAATCATGCTATTTTTGTGGGACAAAACGACATAGCATCACTCCAAAGGCATTTTCAAATCTGATAACCTTTTCCTTCTTGTCCTTTTGGCTAAATTACAAAACGAAAGTATCAGGTAAATTCTACCGCGGTTCTTAACCTTTCATAAGTGTAATATTCAAGTCCTCCATGTTGCACCATTTGTTGAACTAATACCTCCAGTCTTTTAAAACTGTAGCATTGTTTCCTCTTGAAGGAAAAAATATTTGAACCTTAAACAGTCACGTGACACTCACGGAACTTAAAAGGGTAAATTTGTCTCTCTATTTTTAAATCCAAAAAACGGTAATTTCAACTCTTCGTATGTTATGAAATTTATCAGTGTTTAGGAAACCTATTTATTCCCTTGCATAAATTTATCAGCAACATCACTTGAATGTCCTGTAACTATTTACGTTGGTGCTACAATTTTAAATTATTACGAATACACGTATAATAAATAGTAAGTTTGGACATGAATGTCACTTTCCGAAAGGTCGGAAACCCCGATGATTTACCCAATAATGTGTCACCAACAAGAATAATCTCGAGGAAAAACTACAACACACAAATCTCTCTCGGTGAGTTGCAATGGATAACAATTCAAAGCAACCACTCATTTCTTCGGGGAATGATGCAGAAACTGAAGAAAAATATTCAATTCAACGATCAATTTCATCTTTCACCGCCGACGAAAATGACATTCCTCCGATCACCGGCGTTAAAGTCTTCTATGAACAGTTCTGGATCGAGTTCAAAAAGCTTTGGTACCTTGCTGGTCCGGCTATTTTCACTTCGATTTGCCAATACTCCCTCGGCGCCGTTACACAAACCTTAGCAGGCCACGTCGGCACGCTTGAGCTCGCTGCATTCTCTATCGAAAACTCAGTCATAGCCGGATTTTCTCTCGGAGTAACGGTATGTTGAACCGCTTCCTCATCTAGAAGCTGAAACTGTTAAAGAATAGTGATGTTTATTTATTATTGAAGCTCTACAAGTAGAATATGAAACCGATTCGATGCAAGTGTTTGGATCCATTATTGACATAGCTACCAGGCGCTCAATTCTTTCTTTTAATGAATAGATAGCGACAAGATTTGAACTCAAAAAAGCTTTGAAGCACGATCTAGAAGTGTTTATAATTAATTTAAAATCAGATTTCTAGTATATTTTGAGATTTACGATGGTGAAACATGAGGTTGAAATTTCGAAAAGTTGTGGATTCATATATATAAATTAATTGTTATGTTTGACTTAAATTAAAATCTAATCTCTACCAACAGGTTTATGCTTAAATTTGAACTATTTTGTTTTCCATTAGTTCAAGTATTTTTATTTTTTTCTTTGAATGTATGCTTGAACAGTTGGGAATGGGAAGTGCACTTGAAACTCTATGTGGACAAGCATTTGGGGCTGGACAAATCGACATGCTTGGAGTTTACATGCAAAGATCATGGATTATCCTCTGGACGACTGCGTTTTTATTAATGTTTGCCTACATTTTCGCTGCGCCACTTCTCCGACTGATCGGTCAGACACCGGATATATCTCGCGTTGCCGGAAAATATGCTATATGGATGATACCTCAACTCTATGCATATGCATTGAACTTTCCAATTGCCAAATTCTTGCAAGCACAGAGCAAAATGTTGGTCATGTCTTGGATTGCAGGCGTAGGGTTGGCTCTGCACACACTTTTTAGCTGGTTGTTTATGCTCAAGTTGGGGTGGGGCATGGTGGGGGCGGCGGTGGTGCTGAACGCTTCGTGGTGGTTAATAGTGGGGGGGCAGCTAGTTTATATATTCATGGGGTACTGTGGTAGAGCTTGGTCTGGATTTTCGTTGAAGGCTTTCCAAAATTTGTGGAGTTTTGTGAGGTTATCCCTTGCATCAGCAGTTATGTTATGGTGAGTAATTCACACACATTCCAATATCTTTAGACTTGCATAAAAGCAGTTTTTTTTTTCTGCTTTCGCCGAAAGCATGTGGATGAAGATACTTTTTTTTTTCATTCTTTTTTTTAATAAAAAAAATTTGGAAATTATTGTAGTCACAACATTGTACAAGTTCTCTACTTTTGAAAAAGGGACTAATTTGCACAAATCACGACTTAGCGGACACGTGGATCCATCCACTTATTCTGTTTTTCTTATCATTTAGTACTGAGAGATATCGTGATTTGACTCGATGATCTTAGTATGTGATCATATAAAATCATTCAATCGAACTATTTCTTGCACAATAAATATCATATGAGAACACGATTGAATTTAGGTTTACTACCATGTGCATTAAAAATTCTTTTTTTCTTGGATTAAGCTTATTTTAATTGATTTTATCTTCACCAAATATTTTATAATTACAGCTTAGAAACGTGGTACTTTATGTCCTTGGTCTTATTTGCTGGATACTTGAAGAACGCAGAAGTGGCTGTCGATGTTTTATCTATATGGTGAGTTGCTTTATTGTTGTCCACACAATATACAACTTGCTTAAATTGTTCTCGTGTAATTATCTTTTTTTTTTAAATAGTAATTATTTGAAGAATGTGTAATTAAAAAGTGGGAAAAATTTTGGATTTACGTGAAGAAAATATTTTATTGTGAAAATATGTGATTGAAACTGAGTATGAGAAAAAATGAGTTTTGAAATAATGGTTACCAAACAATGGCTAAGTAATACGATAAAGCGATAGCACATAATATTAGAAAAATAGCTTATATTTAAAAAAATACAAATTATTTTATAACTAATATTTGACAGAATAGTCACTTAGAGGGAAGAGAGATCCATAATTCTGCTCTACCGGGCCTGTAAAAGGCCTAGTAGAGCAGTTGCTCTCACATGAGGTAGGTCCCGAGGACCCATCTCATTAAACACACCCCCATCTCACATTTGCTCTGCCACGCCTTTTACAGGTCTGGCAGAGCAGCTTAGTCCGGGAGAGATAGCCAAGGAAAAAGACATCATGACATTTTTATAAAATTGAGTGATCACGGGGATACAAAGTATAAAGTTGGATGGTCATGGTAAGACAAAATCAATTTGAGTGACCATAATGACATCGAGCATAAAATTGGGTGGTCATTGATGGATTTAACCTAATATCATATTTTAATAAAAATTTATGGAATTTTCTTTTTTTGGAAAATTAAGTTATATGAAAATTTCGTCTTAATTTAATTTAATAAAATATTATTCATTGTTTTTTTTTATTAGAATGTACAATTTTCAACATATTTAAAAAATAAAAGGCACTGGTTTTTAGTCAAGTGGTATTTAAATTAAATATTGACTCATCAAAAAATAATTATGCTTTTACCCATAATCAATATTTTCTACGTATTGTTATCTTAGATAAAGTTGTTACAGAAGTCTATTTTATGATTGCTAAAACAAATTAACTATTCACTTTTACAGCACGAACATAGTGGGTTGGGCTGTTATGGTAGCCATGGGATGCAATGCAGCGATAAGGTATCTAATTGTTTACTCTTTTAACTTTGGAAGTTTACCTTTTCTACAGAAAAATAAACGAAGAACACTTTTCTTGTATACAGAATCATAAATTTTTGTATTGGTAGCAAAGTTTAACATACAGATGAATATTAATAATATATCATGCAGTGTAAGAGTGTCAAATGAACTCGGTGCCGCTCATCCAAGAACAGCTAAATTTTCAGTCCTGGTGGTGGTTGTTTCTTCCTTCTTGATCGGCCTTCTCCTCTCTCTCGTTCTCATCATTTTCAGGAAGCAATATCCTTCCGTATTTGCAGATAGTGCCGAAGTTAAGAAACTTGTGTACGACCTCACACCATTGCTTGCATTTTGTATTGTCGTCAACAATATTCAACCAGCTCTATCAGGTACATGTAATTTTTACTTTTTCCCATGATATCCTACGGATTGTATTTGTCACGAGTAGGGCTACAAATTGGAAAGAAGTACGATCTGATAGTATTCGATGAATATATTGGGTGCAGGAGTGGCCATCGGAGCTGGATGGCAAGCTATAGTCGCTTATGTGAATATTGCATGCTATTACTTGTTTGGCATTCCTTTGGGGCTCGTATTGGGGTTTATAGTCGATTGGGGTGTTCAAGTAAGTTGTTAGTAAAATAAAATTCTTTAATCCAAAACCATTTACAGTTTAACAGAACTTTTACACTGATGATTTTTCAGGGCATCTGGTTTGGAATGACAATGGGAACAATACTACAAACTATTATCCTCTTTTGGCTTGTTTACAGAACTAATTGGAATAAAGAGGTTTGCACTTTTTTAGTTCTTTCGTTTCTGTTTCTTTTTATTGAGGTTATATTCATAAATATTTGCATGAATCTCTTTCTTTTTTGGTATAATGCAGGCTTCTGTTGCATCACAAAGGATCAAACGATGGGGAGGGGAGGAAACGCAAGAAAAATCAAATGATGTACAGCAATGAAAAAAATTGTTGATGAAGAAAAATTCACCTTTGTTACCTGATTGATCTTATCATTTTTCCTTAAGGGTGCGTTTGATTGCAAGGGTGGAAAATGTGTTGAAAGAAAATGAATTCCTGGGAAAATAATTGCCTAGAAATTGTTTTGCAGGGAATTGTTAATTAAGTGTGTGTGATTGATATAATTTTTCACCCGAAANTGTGTTTGATTGATATAATTTTCCACTTGAAATTTTTTTAAATTTTGTGTTCGTTTGGCCATCGTTTGCATCAAAATTGTCCATTAAAGTGATAATTTTTTCTACACTTGGTTATAAAATTTGTTTCCATTGTTAAAAAGTAAAAAAAAATGAAAAAAAAATGTTTCCTAAAAATTATTATTTTTTATCAAAGTTTTGTGTTCGTTTGACCTTCGTTTGCATCAAAATTGTACATGAAAGTGAAATTTTTTTTTACACTTGGTTATGAAATTTGTTTCTATTGCTAAAAAAAAAATGACAGACAGATCAGAAAACCTTTTCCCCCCTAAAAGGTGGGAAAACCTTTTCTTATCCCGCCAAGAATAAGGCGTGAGTGGAAAATAATTAGCACAAATTTCAGGCAAAAAGTTGGCATCAAACAATATATTTGTAAGGAAAATGAAAATAAATTCCATTTTCCATGAAAAATGGGTGTTATCAAACACACCCTTATATTTATATAGTCACTTTGTGCTTACCCTTTTCTTTTAATTATCAGCCAGTAGTTTGGTCTATTAATGGATAAAAAGTTTGGTGGTGGTAGTGGGATACTATTGTGCTTGTTGGGGGGAAATTCTGGGAAATATTCAATTTTGACACCTCATTCTGAGAAATGGTAAAAATAAAAAAAAATAAAAAAATTGAAAGGTTTGCGCCGAATTTTTTAAAAGGATGAAAACATCCTAAGGTTTTTCTCATTCCAAATTCCTTTCTTCTTTTCTTTATTCCTAAAATCTATTGTTTCACTCACTTAATTTGATCCCAAACCGACTTTTCATTCGCCGACTTACCTATGAAAATTATCATCACGACGTTTACGTCAACTCATTTTCTATGAAAACAATACTTAAATAGCCTACAAATCATCGACCTTTCCTTTCCATTTTCTTCTTTCGCTTCCACTAAATTCTGAAGTCAACCATCAAAACTGTCTCTCATTATGGGGGCAACAAAGAGGTGTGTTCTAGGGGTTGAGAATTTGCTAAGAGAATGAAGATTTGGGTTTTTTATTAAATCATATTAGAATCACAAATTTTTGAAGAAGAAGAGGATGACACGATAACTTGTTTTTTGATGGCATGAAAAAAAAAGTTGATTTTGAATGTCCAAATATGTGAGGGACATCTCAAGTTTTCTACTTAACACTCAATAATACTGAGCAAATGTTCCCTTCGTGGTGAAGTTTTCCTCCTTCCTCTGTGAAGTTTTCTTCCCTTCCTCCGGTGAAGGTTTTTCTTGATTTTTCTGCGCCCTCGCTGGGGGGGAGGGGTGGGAGCTTTGGCTCCCCCCCTTTCCCCTTTCCTTTTTCCCTTCTTTCCCCTTTTCCCTTTCTTCTTTCCCCTTCTTCCCCCTCCGTTTTCCTTCTATTTTTTCTCTTTGTTGTTGCCCGTGGTTCCGCCGTGTTGCAGGCGTGGTTTGGGCGGGGTGGTGGTGTTCGTGTGTGCTTTGGTCGGAGAGAGGGGCGAGCGAGGTTGGCTGGTGGCGAGCGACGGGCCTCGGTCGTTGTGATCTCAGGTGGTCGGAGCCACCGTGGGTGCTGCTGCTGTTGGGGGTTCATCGACGAGCCGTTTTGGCTGGTTCTTCAGCGCAGGCGTGGGTTGGTGTTTGGTGGTGTGTGGCTGGTGTTTTCCTGTTTGTTGCTTGGTGCTGTGTCTTTGTTGTTTAGTTTGGTTTCTGTTGGTTTAGTTTGTGTTTCGTTTTTGTTGTTTGGTTAGTGTGGTTTGTTTGGTGGGTTGGTGGTAGTCATGTGTGGTTCGGTTGGTGGTGT